TTCTCTTCCTGGCTCTGGTGCTCTGGACTGGGGATCCTGGTATGGGCTAGGACCCCTTGCTCCTTGGCAGAAACTCCACAGTGGAGATATCCATCCCAATTCTCAACACATGGATGTGGGACCAGCCTGTTTCACATCTCCTCCCATCCTACCAGTCTTCATATGGCTTCTTCTCTATATCCTTAGTTATAGGACATCTGTTCAGCTGCTCTTCAGCTGGTTCTCCAGGTTGATTGTCCTATGATTTAGTTGTAATTTTAACATGGTCATGGGAGGAGGTAAACACAGAGTTTACCCACTCTACCATCTTGACCTGTTGCTTTGACTGCTTGACTGCCAATTCAATAGATATTTATCAGTCTTTATTTTCCTACATTCAACTGCTACATTTGAGTATGTAGATTATTCCTTTCTTCTTTAAATGAACTCTTTTTTTGGCTTCAGTGACAACACACTGGTAATCTTTTTACTTTTTCTTTACGGCTTCTCTCCTCTGACCACCCTTAAATATTGGTCATATTCTCAATCCCATCCTTGGTTCACCACTTGCCTCACTAGAAATATGCTCTCTAGGAGATCTCTTTCTCATTCAGGTTTTCAACTATCACTCTGATGCTGACAACTCTCAAATCTCTTCAGTCTACATTATTCCTTCTCAAGGTAAACTTGGATATCTAACTGTCACTAGCATCTCTACATGGTGGTCTCAAAGCCCTAGCATGTTCCAATAGAATGCTTCGTCATCTCTCGCTGGACTGTAGAAATAACTTCTCACCTCCAGGCTTCTGTGATTTTTCTATTGCCTACTTCTCTGATGTCACCTTTTACCACCTTCTGCCTCTCATTATCTGCTCACCTCATGCTCTTTGCTATCTCTATACTTTGCTCATGCTATCTCACCTGGTTAAATGCCCCACTAGCCATTTTCTTCTGTCCTATTATTGATAAATTTTTGATAAGAACAGCACTTCTGTGCTCCTATCTATACTTACCATTGCCCTTTCTAAATAATATTATAATTATTTGCTTACTTTTTTTTCTCTTCCTCACAATTTGGAGTTCCTAGAAGGTGCAGAAGACAAAAAAAAAAAAATGACAACGAATAATTAAAATATAGCATGTGCTGTGAAATGCTATAAGTGCAATATTTATCTACATGATATAGGTATTAAAATGAAAACACAGAGAATAGGCACCAAATCCATACAGAGAAATACCAAGGAGAGCACCTTAGAGAAGAAACCTGAAATGAATTTTGAAAAATGAGTTGGAATTATCCAGACAAATGGTAGAAAATGAATAAGTAGTTGGTAAAGAAAATATATAAAAAGAGAAAACCTAGCCTACATTAGAATCATATGACTGAAACCAATAGAGCTAAAACATAGAATGCCATGGGGATACTTAATAAGTTTGGGTCAGGAGGTGAGGGTTAAGTGTGAAAATGTCCTGCATACCATGAATACAAATTTGGATTCTATCCTGGAAAGATAAAATGCTATAAAATGCTTATTTCGATTTTATGTTTTATTTTCTTAGACTTTTAATCACTAAGCTACTCATAGTTCTAACTTTAAAATCCTAAATCTAAAGATGGTCTCACAGACTTATTCTGTGGTAGCTATGATTTCTGGGGTCTTCTTTGAATTATGAAATGTTCCCTGATGTCACAGGAGGACAAGCTTAAGAGAAAGAAACACCAAAGGGTAGCAAGATCCACCATTTCTTGAGCCCCCACACTGCCTTTGTATTAGGAACTTTAAAAATGTAAGCATCAAAATAATTCTTCAAGGTGTAAAAATGTTGATGAGAGAGATTAAGAATTGAGACCACACATCTAGTAAGTGGTGACTATAGCCATGTTGTATGACTCTACAGACTGTACACATTCTGCTTTGTGACATGGAAAGGACTCTTCACACCAAAGAATATTAGAAAATTACAAAAATGTAGGATGTATCTTAGCTATTATAGATAAGACTATGAATAAAGTCAACATGTGAAAATATGTGCATGATAAGTCAAATTCAAAGAGAACATGCATTAATCAAAACTATAACAGATTGATTTAAATTATAATTAAAAGGACATCAATGATGAAAGAGACTTCTATATACACATTTCAAAGTATAATGGTAAGAAAATGGTGCTGCCAAAATTGGAAAGCCATGTGCAAAAGGATGAAACTAGACTGCTATCTGTCACCATACACCAAAATTAACTCAAAATAGATCAAAGACCTAAATATAAGACCTGAAGAAAACATAGGTACTAAACTCATGGACCTTAGATTTAGAGAGGGTTTTATGAATTTGACCTCAAAGGCAAAGGAAGTAAAAGAAAAAATAGATGAATGAGACTATATCAAATCAAAAAGCCTCTTTACAGCAAAAGAAACCATCAACCATCAACGAAACAAAGAGACAACCAACTAAATGTGACAAGATATTTGCAAACAATGCCTCCAGTAAGGAGCTAATATCCAAAATATATAGAAACTCATACAACTCAATGATAACAAAAACAAACAATCCAATTTAAAAACTGGGCAGAACACTTGAACAGACACTTTTCCAAAGAAGACATATAGATATATGCAAAGGTGCTCAACTTCATTCACTAGCTATTAAGGGAATTCAAATCGAAACCACAAGATCCCACCTCACACCTATTAGAATGGCTCTCATCAACAAGACAAGTAATAACAAATGTTGGAGAGGTTGTGGGAGAAAAGGAACCCTCATACACTGCTGGTGGGAATGTAAATTTCCTATAGCCACTATAGGAAACAGTATGGAGGTTCCTCAAAAAATTAAGAGAATACCATATGACTGAGCAATCCCTCTTCTAGCTATCTACCCAAAAATTTGAAGAAATTTATTTGTAAAGATATATGCATCCCGATGTTCATTACAACACTATTCATGATGGCCAAGACAGAGAAACAATAGAAATGCCCTTCAATAGAAGATTGGATAAAGAAGATGTGGTACACTCATACAATGAAATATTATTTGGCCGTGAGAAAAGATGAAATACTGTCATTTGTGACAAAATGGATGGATCTTGAGATTATCATGCTAAGCTAAATAAGTCAGACAGAAAATGTTGAGAAACATGATTTTACTTATTTGTAGGATGTAAAACAGAAAGCAACAAATGAACAAGACAAACAAAACAAACTCTCATAGACACAGACAATAGTTTAGTGGTTACCAGAGGGAAAGTGGGGAGGAGGGAGGTAATAAGGGTAAAGTGAGTCAAACATATGGTGACAAAAGGAAATTTGACTTTGGGTGGTGAATACACAATACAATATACATATGATGTATTATTAAATTGTACATTTGAAACATAATTTTATTAACCAATGTCACCCCAATAAAGTTAATAAAAATAAATTATAAATAAATAGAAAAATTTTGTCTGTAGTCAATATGCACATTGCCTTTAGAACAGTCTTGGAGCGTCCAAACCTTCCAAGCCATACAACTCTGTTTGGCTAATACCACCTAAAAGATCAGTAAGATCACATAAATGTCCTTTATAATGTGCAGACTTATTAATTTTTTTAAAAAGATAAACTGTGTGCCTAAGGAATAAAAATATTTACTAAGAAAAATTGAGAAGATTGATATGTGTTAATTATCCTTTCTCATTTTTTAAGATACATAATAAGATCATTTTCTGGATTTTGCCTAGAATGGACTGGCATGTGCATATGCTTTGGGATTTGTTTTTCCTTTAAAAATCAATCTTCCGCACAAGGAAATGAACTTTGGAAGAAGGGGGTTGTAAAATAAATTGTATTGGGTGAGTTTTAATATTTACTGTACAGATAATTTCGATCCTACATATAATTTTATGATCTTTATAGAGTGAATAGACAACCTATTTCTACATTTTTTGAAATTCTTTATATACTCACTGCTGAAAAGTTTTAGTAAATATACATATAGAGATTTATAATCAGTTTTGGATTTCAAAGAGTTGTTTTGTGGTTGTTTTATATTGCATTAAACAGTCTACCAGGTACTTAGTCTTTCCCTTTTTTCAGATTAACATAAAATTTACACGTGCACAAAAAAAATCTTTCTTTAACATTTAGAATTCAAATGATGGGATACTGAGCATTACTCTTTTGTACCTGGAGGCTACAGACTTAATAGCAAAAAAGCGGTGACCTGAAATCAATATTATCCACCAGGAATGTAGATGGGAGATTAAACCTGGGAGCTCATAGGACAATGGCTTCATCTAGTAAATCAAATGGATAAAAATAAAAAAGAAATAATAGAAAGCTCAATTATTAATGTAGTTTTTCTACATTGAGATATTAAAGTAAGTCTTGTTCCTAGTTCTAGTTGTTTCTCAGTTCTATTCATTCTTCAACATTTTTTGAAGGTTTATTTATAAGCAAGTCATAATAAATAACTCCATGAAGCTAAATACTCCCATTAATTCTGTATTCTCATCACCTCTAAATTCCTCCTATTTAGTAAACAGTAGGCAAGTATGTTTTGAAAATAGAAATGAAAAATCAATGGTAAAAAATCCAGATATAATTTCATAAAATATTAAGTGCAAGATTATAAGTCTTATTTTAATGAATGTTTCTAGAGCATATATTTACTATTATTTAAACAGCTTCTGCATGTTTTATCTTAATGGATATTTAAGATAATATAACTATTGATAAATATTTTAACTAAAGTTATCAGAAAACCTTTACAATTAAAGCTAAATCTCCTTAACATAATTACGTTTAGAGATTATTTTAACTCGCATTGATACATAACTTAAATGAGTATTAAAGTGAATTGTTATATTTTATTATGCATAATAATGTGTTCATAACTAATTATTATGAATTAATAAATTAAGATTCCCTTTTGTTAAATGAATTTGTACTGGGAATATTTGCTATAAAATATCAACTTCTTTCATTTTTTTCAAAAAATGATTATATAGTTTTAAGAGTAGCCATTAGACAGACATACATGCCATTCTACATTGTCATCTTCTTTCCCAAGAGTTAGCAACTTGGCGAGTGGATTTCCAGTGGGACCAGCATCATTCTGAGGAGATGGGTGTGCATACTGTACCAGAAGTGCACTGCCTGGTGTTGGAGGGTAGGACCGTTTAAGAGTCTGGTTGATGATCTGGTGATCAAGGGTCATGAAGGGTTTTACTTGCTGTCTTTGGATTTTCTGTAGCTGAGTCCCTGCAGAACTTTCCAGGTGTGTGGGGACCTACAAAATAGAAGCCAAACAATTACAATATGTAGCATTATCTGGTAAATCAAAGTTCTATTTTCAATAATTGAATTATTGCAATAAATAAACTAAAATGGAACTGTTAAAATTGAAATAAGCTCAGTGTAGAAACATTGGAAAATAGAGAAAAGTGAAAAAAATCATCAAGATTTTCACCATCTTGTTTTTCTCAAAATATATAGCCTATACTTTTATCGTAATTTATATAAGATAGTAATAGATTATAGTTTTTAAGAGGCAATTTAAACTTTACTAAAATATTTTAAATTCTGTGTTTTTAAGAATATCCTTCAAAATTACATGCAACTGAAACAAAATTTGGAATAAATATATAAGCAGCAATAATTTTTGAAGGTCTAAAAAAGAAAGGCTGAAATAATGCAAGGAAAATATAGCTGACTCACTATTATTAACGATTTTTATATAATGTATTTCTTAGGTTTTCTTATATTACAAATCTAAATGTTCTATGGGATATTATCACAATTATCACTTATAAAACTGAAAAACAAACAAAACTCATAGACACAGCCAACAGTTTAGTGGTTAACAGAGGGAAAGGGTGAGGGGAGGTAAATAAGAGTAAAGGGGGTCAAATATATGGTGATGAAAAAAGATTTAACTTTTGATGGTGAACACATAATGCAATATACAGATGTATTATCAAATTATATGCTTGAAACCTACAAAATTTTATTAACAAACATCACTCTATAAATTTAATTAATTGATTAATTAATTAATTTAAAAAATTATCCAGGAGGGAGCAGAAACTAGAAATGTATATATAAAATAGTAAGCGTGATACTTTAGGGGTGGTGAAAATCTGGTGATTTTTTTCACTTTTATCTATTTTCCAATGTTTCTACACTGAGCTTATTTCAATTTTAACACTTCCATATTTTCACTTTATAATAACAATACTTTGATACTATGAATTGACTGAAAAAAAACATTCAGAGAAAAATCTAACCAGTGTCATGTGCCAACTAAGCAACTGGCCAGTATTCTGAAACCCTTTTTTCAAAACATAGACTTAAAATTCTGGGCATCTTCAGTCTAGCTATCATAGTTAACGACATACCATTATTTGTATGAGGACAATTTTAAGCATTTCAAGCTTTTCTTTTAAAAGCCTCTGAAAGTAGCATCGCCTGACAGTCTCCTTTATATTTACTAGGCTGTGATGTGGCTCCTAATACATTTTCCTCAAGTGGCCTATGTATAAACCTATTTAATATTTCCCTCATGTTATACAATAGTAAAGATTGCTGTACAGTGCTTATTTTTTCTTTTATATCAGTTACACAAACTACTCCTTAAATCCCTTAACATGCATTAGCCCAGATAAATAGCCTTTATAAAGTATTTTGCATTTAAATTAGCTGATTGGGGTATAATATTGTAGTAGTTACTTTAGTTTAATTCTGTTATGCTGACATTTTTAGCATTATTTTAATTGTACTACCATAAAATAATTTTTCAGGCACGTAAAAAAGATTAAGATTGGTAATAAAGATTACACATATTACTAATTATATTGCTATGAGCTTTAAAGTTGTAAAAGAACATTTCATTAAAATGCCAGGGTAATTTTTTTAAGGTAGCTATTCAGGTTATCTTTCAGTTTTAAGTTAATTATTCTTTATCTGCATACGTTTACAAAATATACATTTTAAATAACATTTTCAGATTCACAATCTGAAAGATCTTTCACACAATGTAACTGAACACTACATTCAGAACAGTGTGTATCTACAAATGAAAAATATCTCTTATTCTTGGAAAAGTATGTCGAATCAATATTTATAACACTTATTAACTAATTTATTTCTCACTTTTCATCCACTGGCTCTAAAAGCCATCATTAGAGTACTTATTGCATTTCGTGTTACATCTGGAGCACAAGAGAAGTCATAGATGTGATCTCAGGGCCATAACAGTTTTCAATGTAGTTGGGCAGCATTAAAATCAACTATAGCAGAACACAATGATAATAATAATATGCAACAGGTATAGGCACTGTGCTAAGCAATTTACACACAATATTTCATTTCGTTCTTGTTACAACCTTTGGAGGTAGATGTTATTAATATTTCCATTGCATCATATAGATGAAGTCACTGAGTCTTAGAGAGGTTAGGTGACATGCCTGTTATTGCTCTAGTAAGGGCTGGAGCTGGAATACAGACCCTGCCTTTCTTAGCACTATACATATTGGCTCAGTAATGTATACAATAAATTAAAAATACCACAAAAAGCAGTGGTTTTAAAAACTAACTGGAAGAGAAAAATGCTTATAAACCAGGAGTTGGAAGGAGATGGTCCTGCACAGGGAGCAAAGGAAAGGAAAACTCAAATGCAAAAAGATCAAATGAAGGAAGACAAGAAGTTGGGAGACAGTCACAAAATTAGTCATGAAAAGAAACTCACATGAATACTTTTTCTTTCTCCAAGTTAAGATTACCATTTCTTCTTTAGACCACTGTATACAGAAATATAATAAAACATAAAGTGGAATCAATTCTAATTTTATCCAAACTATTGGTTATTTATAGGAAATTCCAAAAGTTTAGTGGGCAAAAGTGAATACTGTCTTGAACCCTATCTAGATAATGCCTGTAAACTAAGCATAAGAGTCTAAAAGTTTTGTGGAACAGAGAAAGAATTAATGGAATGTGACTAAACTACTCCCCAGATTAATCTCTGTCTTTTTCAATCATGTACTGATATCAGAACAATGAAACAAATAAGTATAAAATGTCAGTTAAACCATGTGCAGCCAATATCCACAACTAACTATGGATTTGTTTTACTGAAGGTCTCAGTGCTTGGTAGGATGAAGTAAATGAAATTATAAGTTGCCATTGTTCATTAATTCATGTATGTAAGAAACATGCTTTGAGTGCCAAGTGTGTGTGAACAGACTAATACACTGATGGTAGAAAGGAGACGACTGTAGTGTCTACCTTCAAAGAACTTGCAGTCTATTCACAGTCTAGACAGGGAAGAAAAACATGAGATCTCCAAGAGCAAGGTCCGTGTCTATCTTGCGTACTACCTGCTGTACTGCCATACTTTCGATACATAACCGAGAAAATGGCACATAGCACTCTTTTTAAAATATGCATTCATATATATTCAATAAATGATTGAATAAATGAGTCTTTAAAGTATAGTGTATGAGTAACTATGGTGGCTACAGAAAGCTTTGGGAATCCACAGGAGGAGCAAGTAAATCATAATCAAAATATTAGTCTTCACTCAGCAGGTTGGAGCAGCTGTACAGTATGATTTGGTTCATCGAGCCATCAAAGATGTAAGACCACTCAGATGTAGAAAAACTTTTTTATGGAGAACAATAAGTAAATCATACCTCCAGAACTCTGAATTATGCCTCAACATTATCACTCTGACATGCCACTACTAGAAACTAAAAATACCGAGGGTCAGTTCAAAACCTAGATTTTATCTATGTGAAGAAATCTGTTTTATTTTACTTAAAACAATTTATTTACCTATAGCCTCCCTATTTTCCAAAACATTGTAAAAAAATACAAAATGTGATCTTGGTTGCAGAAAATAATCATTGAGGAATCACAATTACAAATACAAAATATATATATATATATCTGTGGTCTTTATTTTTCCCTCGTTCTACTCTTGTTTTTAGACTAGAAAAGATGCAGGAATCCTGCCTTTTGAGAGAACTGTTGGAGATCCATGAGAAAGCCTAATGCCATAGGAAAAAGTCAGATCTCATTCTCTGACAATGACAGTTGAAACAACAGAAGATGATTTATAGTATCTGATATCTGATGATTTTTTTTTTAAGCCCAGAGTTTAAATCAGTCTCGAGATATTTCAACTCTATGATTTTTTTTTAAGAAATTTATTTAGTTAAAACTAAGACTAACAAAATGTTATGTGGTCTTACTTGAATTTGGATTTAAAATCTCCTGATAGATAGAAGAGCTGAGAAGTAATGTATGCCAGCCAAGCAATGCTAACTAGGTAGACTCTCAATGTTCCCATGTGGAGTCATTCTTATTTTCATACAGTTGTTTTCAATTTATGCTCCTAGATACATGAGTTCATTTCCTCGATTTACATTTTAGTGTTCTACACTGTATTCTTTTAACCTAATTCTCATATGGATTTCAGATACCATCCAGTGGATAATAAGAAGAGTATATTGTATAAGGAAATTTTAGAAAGAAATGGATAGTCGTACTAAAAGAACTTTAAAGGACTCCGCCAACTCTGTGATTCTCTATGTATAAGGTTGTATATTTTACATACACTACTTTTATCACAGCACCTTAAATATTGCTATACATTTATATTTATGTAGGCTTGTATATATTTTAGCTTCTTTAAAAATGTCATTTTATTAAAAAGAAAAGCATATGATAATGGTAAAAGCCCTCAGCTGATAGTGCAGCATTCAATCCACAAACATTTAATGACAGTTTGCTCTTTGTTAAAGCCAGTCCCAAGGGGAAAGTCATTTCTCTCCAGAAAGCAGGTCTGTGACCCATGTGTCATCATCTACCTGGAGACCACTTATCTAAACTGAGGGCTTCTAACCTGGGAGGAGATGAAACACCTTCTGGGTACAACTCTTTTTGAAACTCAAAACTAAAAAGTAATAGCAAACATCTCACAAGCAATTATCTCAATAACAATATCGCCATTAATTTGTCTAGCCAAACAAATAAAGCAGGCAAACATGGGCACCTACTTAATAAGCGTGTTTAGATTATCCGCAAGTACATAAACAGAAATATATTCAACCAGAAATAAATTTTCTAAATATATTACTGGGTGATAGTAAATAAAAACATATACACTGTCATCAAACACATATACACACACATATGTGTGCATGTACACACACACACCAAAAAGCAAGACAGAGAATCCCATTGACTATGACAGCCCTTATTTAATTTTCTTAATTTTCTATAGAGCTC